TCCATATCCAGATCACACGGTCACTGCAGTCACCTGGATCCAGGCCGTATACAGTCCAGATGGTGGATCAGCACCTAGGGACGTACATATAGCCCTGAATGTCAGCGGAGACCATGTCAACTAGACGAACCCTAGAGACAGATCCCCTGTGACGACCTTGTCGGACATTGGCACAAGACCACGAGAACCAGACGAGTCCTCTGCTCAATCTGACGTGTGTCGCAGCCTGGAATTAAACCACACTATGCTGGTTTCGTCTGGCCAGAGGAGAACTGAGCCTGGTTTATCCCAAAGTTTTTTTTTCTCCATTTCTGTCACTGATGGGAGTTTTTTCCGTCTTTGGCTTGCTTAGTTTCTGGCAACATTATTGACTTGACTGCACAGACACTATTAGATGAGAACTAAACTGAGCTGGATGACGACATCACTGAATCAACAATGAACTGACTTTAACTGATAAACTGTTTTCTATTGTCCTCTTGCATTATCAGCACACATTTTTCCTGATTAACACTGTTAAGCCGCTTTGACACAATCTGTATTGTTTTATATAAAGTTTACTTGACTTGTATATATTTATATGTATATAAATACAGATACATGCATATATTTAAGAAATATTTACATGCATAAGTATATTCATGTATGATTTAAATTATATATAAATATATATTTTATATTTTGGATGCAATTAATCCTGGTTAATCAATTTGACAGTCCTAATATATGCGTGCGTGCGCACACACACACACACACACACACACACACACACACATTCTCTTTTTCATCATTACGACAAATAAATCTCCTTGAACTTAAGCAGCTCAACTCCATACAAACCTGGTCAAAATTGATCTTGCATTTATTACAGAATTGAAACACATAAATGAAATATGAATACTTTGGGTAGTGAAACAGGGTAGCAAAAACAATAATAGGCAAACAACCATTTATGGTCCCAAACAAAAGCTTTGGAATGCATATATGCTGTATGAATACAATAAAACCAACATACGGTTTAAAACTAGCGTTCTCAAACATTTTTGGTCCATGAAAGCAGTAGTTGTGAAACGCTACGCAGAAAGTATGTTGATAATTGCATGCACTCCAACAGCCAGCAAGAGCTAGTGCAGCACCAATGCATTCATTTCCCATCTCCTTTTCTCATGTGGTGGGAAAAATTATGCATGCCAAACGAATAGATAAATAAATCAAGGGCCCTTCGGAGTCAATCACACTTGAGGCAGAGTAAAAAGGAAGTTGATATGTGTTCGAGGTGCGCACTTCTGCTGGTTTGGGGTGAGAGTATTAACAGTGAACTCATATCCAGGAGAGCGTGACTACTTATCACAGTGAGTATGTAGAGACGGTTTTCCCAGGCGTGTGCTTCCATGATGACATCGTGATGCATCACATGCTCTCAGTGGTGCGTGTGGAGCCAGCAGCAGCCTCCATTTGCAGCCACATAAGAGACGCAGATGATTGCCGCAAGAGACACACGGGAATCTGCACTTCTTTAAACATACCGTTAGTTACCGGCTATTCGCCCCAAGGATGTCCTTTAATTCCTTGTGGGATTCTGGGAAAAAATCTTTACCAGCAGGAATCAACATCCAGTTTCAACAAGGTGACAGCGTATCCTGAGGGAAAGCCGTAGTGGTACAGTTTACAAACGGGCGGAAATCCTGGACTGAAACAACCGGAAGTTCAAAGGTTGATGCCAAGGTGAATGTTCATAGTACTGTCAAACGGAAAACAAGTCCTTCTTATGGTAGGCAGAAAGTACAGTGTCATTTTGTCTGAGGTGCACAACTCTATGGATGATGTCATTCTTCCACTTAAGCTGGAGCCAATCAGATTCCACAACATTCTAGTTCATTAGAATAATATATTCCCGCCTGAAATTATTTGGTTATTTATCAATATATGATGATAACGAGCAAAAACGGGGCATTGCAAGTAAATAATGGGATTCATTCATGAAACACAAGCAAAATGAATCATTAGTATCATTCTTACATAAATGATCATTTCACATTCAATTTGATGCAGCAATTGAAATACAAACACCTGAAATTATTTAGTAATCATTTATCAATACATTATAAATGCAAATGAAAAAGCATAAAGGGGGCATAACTCTGGGATTCATTCATGAAACACAAGCAAAATGAATCACTGGTAAAACTGTGTGTAAATAGTCATTACACATTCAATTCTGAAGTAAGATTGCCTGGAATTATCTGGTAATCATTTATCAATATTTGATGAAATAAAAGCATAAAGGGGGTATTGTGAAGTAAACACTGGGATTCATTCCTGAAACGTGATGAGAATGAATCGTTTGTGTACAGTAAATGATTATTTCACTTTCAATTTGATGTAACCACTGATTAAAACTATTCTGATCTGGATTCATGAATGATGCCTATTATGAATGACGAGTAAACAACATAACTTTCATTTATCAAAATATTAATGGATCATTTGTAGCCATAAACAGACATTTTTTTTTTTTAGATCTTAAACATAATTTTCTTTGCTTTGGGTCACTAATTCAAGCAGAACTAATTATTTTGATCACTTTTAGATCAGCTCGGTTTAGTTGCATTTAGTAATTTACACAGGGCCGTCACTAAAATGGATGAAATTCACACATTTTTATGCACGAGCCGCCTCTAAATGAGTTGGCCATACATAAAGGGCATTCGAGGTTCCTCGTCATCACAGGACCAGAGACAATGTTCCTGGTTGTCCATCACTGAAATTATCTGGAGTGTATCTAAAACACTAGATCTACACACAACTACTAACAAGTACACAAGCCATAACAAAAATAAAGATACAGCAAAGGAAATACATGCATTTACAAGACAGGACGTCGCAAACAGACCATGAGAGGAAGAATTTTGACCGGAACCAGAAATTATGATTATGAAACTATAACATATAACACATTTTTAGATCATAAATAATAATACTAACAGCATAAACAGCTGACAAAAAGACAATCTGACTGACTTTGTCATAATTAATCATATACCATATTGACCCGAATATAAGACGATGTCTTTTTCTTGGAAATACTTCTGAAAAAACGCGGTCGTCTTATATTCAGGGTCTAGACTTTGACATGTCAATAATACACCCACAACAATAGGTGGCGCCAAATACGCATAAAACGAGTGTGCCATGAAATACGTAATGTAATGCGTGTTGTAAAGATCGCGAGTAAAAACAAAAGAAAAAGAAAACCTTACAGCTGCATGAGTCGTGACTGTCACGTTAGCCTGATGGGCCCAAACTCCCTTTGTGATTTTAAAACGTAAGACAGTACCCAGCTTTGAAGACTACAGTAAGATTTAACTTCTACTGTTAATAAGATTTTGGTAGGCTACTATTAGATGGATAGCCTAAATGTCCTAATTCAGATGGGCTACCTGTTTTTTTTTTTTTTTAATGGTATATCAAAAAGTGTTTATTTTTTAAATGTGATTGTTGATAAATTTTTCCAGTTTTTACCATACATTCAAAACAAAAATTTAAATAGGAAAAATCTTCAATATGAAAATAATTGAAGACAAAATGTGTTTTACTGAGAAAAAACAATATTTGGTTTTTAAAACGCCTTTTTCCAAAAGGTACATCTGGAAAAAGGGGGGTCGTCTTATAATCAGGGTCGTCTTATATTCGGGCCAATACGGTATCTAATTGCAAACGTGATTGCGATTGCTGCAGGAGTGTCTCTCCAGCTCACAGTAATTCTGTCAATGTTAGCAGTCTGTCAGAGCCTCAGTCATTAATTAACGTTATAGGATTGCTCTATAAAGGCTTTCATTTTGTTAAGTGTAAAACAATTTAAGGCATTAATGGAAAGGAACTGATGGCGAAAGAGGCTTATGGTATTAAATCTAGTTACGACTGATTATTTTTAAAGGTTTGATATATGATATAGCATCTGGAAGACAATGAACGTCACAACATATCAGCTCTCAGTCATGAAGCACATGCAGAATTAAGTTTTGTGCAAACGGTTCATGAAAACCATTCTTACATTAATTGTTGAATATAATTGCACTGGACAATTTATGCAAGAACGGTTTACAAACGTGAGCGGAAATATTCAATTAAATGTGAATAGTTCTTTGAATGTTTGACACAGAAATGAGTTCTGCTCATGTATTGCGGGCAAATATGTTTGGTAGATTTGAATGCAAGTCTGATTAATCCCTCTATATGTTTGCTGAATGAAAATGCAAGCACACACAGAGTTGCCAAAAACTTTCAGGGACACACATACAGACACACACACACACACCAAACAAAACCAATAAAGTTAAAATGACCTCCTTGTGGAACGGCATAGTGAGTTTGTATCAGTTAACTCTTTCCCCGCCATTGACGAGTTATCTCGTCTTTTAGAAGACAACGCTTCCCCTCCAAAGACGAGTTTTTACGGCTTTTGGTGTTTTCACTGTTATACACTAGGGGGCGCTATTACACATCTTCTGAATGAGTACAAAACCTCCCGAACAAAAACACACGTGAACAGGACGGTGAACAGGACGGAGCGATCTCTTATGCAAACAGATGCATATGAAAAATAATGCGCTCATCAGCAATGGCAGCATAAAAATGAAAACTGCATAATGTTACGGAGTAAAATTATGATCCAGGAAGTCTGTGCAAGCTTTGGAGGTGATGATAGAAGCGATTTACTGGATTTACACTTTGATAATCGTACTGAATATTACCCAGATGTAGTTTTTGATAAAAATTTGATTTTCTCACCTTTTTGCTCAAAATTATGCATTTTTATGAAACCTACCTATATTCAAGTGTTGATAAAAAAAGAATGCTTTAAGCTAGAATAAAACTGATTTTTTTGTTTAAAAGTAGAGGATTCAAATATTCATACAGCAAAATATTCTGGAGGCCATAAAAATTTTAGCGAAAATCATCAAAATCGCTGGCGGTGGCTGGCAACTTTTTTCATGGAATCTGTCTCAGAAAAACGCATCTAAAAGTTACAGGTCTGAAAATACTGATACACTTTGGAAAACGGCATGATGTGAACAATGGTGCCACATATCAATTCATAAAGCTGCAATGCTGGAAGAACAAAAACGCTGTGAAAATCTGAAAGGTTAGGCACTGAAAAAACAAGTGGAATGGATTGGAAAATGACCTGGCGATGTCACACGGTGTTGATGTCAAACCCTGATTGGTTAGAGTTCTTCATAGTCTCCGCCCTCACTGTTTCCTGGTCCGTCTCCACCCGCCAGGAAGGCCTCAAGATCATCCACAGTTCCTGCTTTCTTGGTCCTTGATGATTTCTTCTTCTTTTCTTTCTCATCTCCCATTCCCACGTCATCTTTTTCCTTTTTCTTGTGTTTGTGTCGTTTTTTGCTGCTTTTCTCATCCTCCTAGAACAAAAACAAGATTTCTCCCTATTATTTCACTACATATAAAGACCGTTTGTGCACAAGCAACAAAATCTGATGGCACGAAAAATGTTTTAATACGAGCAAATTATCAACCAGTACATGCTTTTTGATCACTGATACCGATATTGAGAAGGTTAACTGGTGTCCAATATAATGCTGTTTTATATATATATATATATAATACTATTTAATCATAAGATGCAAAATTAATACTTTCCTCAATAGTATAGAATTAGCTGTATTTGACATTAGTTCAATTCAATTCACTTTTTCAGTGTTCTCATTCGATAAATAATGACACTTTGTTTCCTGTAAAGCTGCTTTATTTTAATTAACCAAATGTGTTGTTTCCTAAAGGCAGAATATTACAACACCGCCATTGTTTTCTTTTTATTATCTTTAAATTGCTTTGAAACAAGTTGTATATAAAGCACTATACAAGTAAACAAGATTTGTCCAAATGTGCCAAAAATATAAAAAAACAAACTGGACACTAGCATTTGACAAGCTTGCTGGTAGATTTTGGAAGTGACACACATGGCCGATGCTGCAAACCTCAAAAATATTGTCAGTTTAATTGCCTTGGATGATATATCAGTCACAATCAATCACTAATATGGTCAAGTTTTTCCATATCTTACCTCTTTGCTTTTCTTTTTCTTCTTTTTCTTGTCCTTTGTGGAGTGTCTGCTTTCATTATCTGCAAGATAAAACACACTTGGAAATGCGTCACATTCAGAAAGCATTTTTCTTCATATTCGTCAACACTGAAAGCAATGAAGTTGCAGTGGTCTGCGACAGCATAACCTCTGTTAGTCTCACCCAGAACAAATATGCACCAATGTTTTCAAAGATCCACTAAAAGTAATCTTTTTTTTTTTTTTTTTTTAAATGTTAATTAAATTGACACTTAAATTAACCGTCAAAAAGTAGGACAGATTTTAATGACTGATTAAATAATGTAATCTTGACTGATCTTGTAATAATAATAATAATAATAATAATAATAATAATCCATTCCTCGTTGGCTAAAAAAGATAAGGCGTGAATCCTCTTTAGTTTTGATCAGTATAAGTGCAAGTCATTTACTGAATGTTACCTTCCTGGTCTTCACTGCTGTCTTTACTATTAGGTCTTGTCTCTTCAAATCCCAGGCCAAACAGGTCAATGTTGCTGGTGAGGGTCTGAAATGAGGGGGCAACAGGTTTGGGGGGCCCTGGGAGTCCAGCTAACACAAACCCATCATCCGACCGGTCAGATAAGTCATCTCGTGCAGAAAAAGTGCCCTACGGAAAACAGACGAAGCAGAAAAGATGAGTGACTGAATGGGATTCATTTGGTGGCAAAGTACTTATTTAATATCTAGATTATCTTTTCTTATTGAGTGTATTTATTAGACTGTAGATGCATTAGATGATTTATATTTATTTGAGAACAACATCTGAGATGGATTTAAGTGTATTTCAGTCAAGGTTATTATCATTAACTAAACTAAAAGCTAAAAACTAAAATATTTTAACTGAAAAAAAAAAAACTTTTTTTTAGATTTAGACTAAAACTTTTGAAAGATTAAATTGAAAACAGAAAATGTAAACAAAAATCTAATTCGACATTAAAAAATATACTAAAATAACACTGATTTCAGTGTGGAATAGCAGGCCATGGCTCTCAAGATTTCATTCATCGATTGGTTACTATAAAGCAACTGATTATCAAGAGCCTAAAATTGGTTTTCTACCTTCTTGATATTAGGTACATCAAGCTCTTCGTTCTCAAAATCAGGGTCGTCCATGACAAATGAAATGATCTGATGAGCAACTGGAGCCTCTTGGTCTGAATCCGAGTTGGCCTCAACAGCGCCTCCTGTCTTCAGGCCTTCTCGCTGCACTGCAGGTCCTGCTGTGGTTTTCAGGCTTTGGGGTCTCTCTGCTGGTTTTGACTTGGTTTGCAGCTGTTTGACAGAATTCACTGTAGATCTAGAATCGAAAGTCAGATTCCACAGAAAATATGAGGTGCTTTCTAAGAAAATAACATCCTGACTTCAAATAATTATTCATCAGAGATCTATCCATCTAGGTCTGTCTATATATCCATCTATCTATCTATTCATCCATCTATCCGTCTCTCCATCAGTCCATCTGTCAGTCTATCTATCCGTCCAGCCATATATCCATCTATCCCCATCCATCCATCCAGCCATCCGTCCATAAACCATCTATCCATCTATCTGTCATCTATCTCTCCATCCATCCATCTATCCGTCCATCCATCTATCTGTCGTCTATCTCTCCATCCATCCATCCATCAATCCCCCTATCCGTCCATCTATCTATCTATCTATCTATCTATCTATCTATGAAAATCACTTGTGCCAAGTAGCATTAATTGAAAAAAATAATATCATCAAGAAATGAAAATTGGTTTTGCCTTCATTAAGAGTGGTTTAATTAAAGTAAATTAGACAAGTCTCTCTGCTGATGGAATCATTTCTATTTCGGAAGCTCATCAACAGTGAGGAAAATTAATTAAAAACGTACAACAGATCTTCAGGAAATTCTTGTCAGGTCTGCATCTCACTGAAGTCTTTCTATTAAATGTATGATGCATCTGACACATCTGCAGATGGTTTCTTACCCCTTTGAGTTTGGCCCCGAGCCGATGCCTTTGTGCCGGGCAGCAGAGGGCAGAGATGAATCTTCCTCCTCATCATCACTCGTGAGGGTGACGCCTATGCTCGGGACCGCCGCTTTAACGGCAGGCTGGGACAGCGCTCTGTCATCCGGATCTAAATCATCCTGGAAGCCGGAGACCAGAGGATTTCCCCGTCCCTCTCCATCACTGAGCAAAAGACAGGCAAACTCTCATGAGTTTAACGTGACCCAAAATTAAACTCATTCACTTTCACAATACATGTCCCTGCTATTTTTGTGATCAATGCATCAGTCCTTATTTTACATAAAGATGTTTGTTGGCATGAATGTTTGCTTCTTTTTCACTTTTCCTCAAAATTTGCTACTTTCTTCATCTCTAAAAAAAACAACAGAACCACAATCAACTCATTCTGAGACAGCAAAATCATGTTGATCTGCGCAAATGAAAAATCCCATTTGTAATCCTGTCCGGTATGTCTATGAGCTGCTGAAATTACTACAGTAATACTCAGACAAGCTGACGGGATGTTCTTTGCTTTTAGAAACAATAAACTGTCTGTTATCACAGCTTACCTATCACTGTCCAGGATGGGAGCTGATGCTGGAGGATTTTTCTTTGATTTAACTGCTAATGCTGCTGCTGTTCCACCATCTTCCAGAAAGGTCCGGTCCAGGCCCACCTCCGGCACAAATTCATCCACACTCTGCACCTTTCCAGAGGACTTCGGGCCTTCAGAACCTGCAGTTTCTAATGAAGATAAAAGACCTTAAAGAGTTTAAAATGAATGCATGTAATAAACCAAATGCTTTTCTAGCTTCATGGCAACAGGTCAGGTGTGCATTTTAACAAAATGCAAGTTGACTGAAATTATATTAATTTATTGTGTTAAGTAATGGTAAAATGCACAAATTATGTTACACACCTGCAATGATCAGATATTTATACCATATTTACACCTACAACATATTTGACCATTACAGAAATGTCCAGTTATTAAATTCTATTAAACTGTTATTAATTATTAAAATATGGTTACTACAAATGTAATGTTATTAGGTAAATCTGTAATTACACCTCAGGCATCAAAAGAAAAACATTTTATGAAACAGAATATATTTCTAAAATTGCATTAAAATAAAATGCAAGAATTATATTACATGACTTGCAAAGATCAGATAATTATACCAGAAACATACTTGACCATTACAGAATTACAGAATTGTCCTGTTATAAAAGTCGATTAACTTTTATTATTAATTATTATAATTATTCTGAACACAAAACATGGTTAATATAAACAGAACATCATTTCCTAAATCTGGCACTACACTTCAAGCATAAAAAAAAGAAAAAAATATAAAAAAAATTATAATTAATTTATATATATATA